CCCCTTCTCTTTGGAAAGGATGACTGGTTCATAATCATCTTTGTATATCCTGATGTCCAGCATAATGCTTGGAATATATTAGATATTTTAAAAAAGCTTATTAAATAGATGAGCAAGAAATCCGAGATTTTATCAGAAATTATAGCTGATAACATAAAGACAGGTGCCTAATAAGTTTTGTCCCCTAAAACAATCAAGATATTTAAGATAGAAAAATATCCTTTTCTTTTTCTATCTTGCAAGTTCAATTGAGAATAGGAACTTGAAAACCAATAGGGAAGATTTTCTGTGGATCTGCAATATATTAGATCTCTATTGGCATTGCTAGAGTTACTTCTGTAGGTCATTTTCTCCTGATTTCTATATTCATTTTGGATCTTCATGCTCTTACTTTGGCTTCTTCTGTGGAAAAATGAACATATAACTGGTGTATGTTAATTTTATTCTGATTAGCAGTTACTTTTCATGTAATTACATGGTTTTTACACCACAAAATAATCGATGAATTTGGGTTTATTATCTATAGCTTGTAGGGTTCGATCACACTGAAAAAACTGGCCAATTTCCAGAACTGGCAAACTGAGCGTTGTGATCACTACCAAGATCCCCTTCAGCCTTAAAATTTCTGAATTTATATTTTTAATTGAAAAATAAAAATAAAAATTCAAAGTTGTATTAATTTGGTATTACTCAAAATGCATGGGGACTGTAGAGACACTGTTATAACAAATTCTAACTACATTCTTCACAAAAATCTAGAGGGAAAAGAAAATTGTCCATATTTTTTTTGAATCATAGCTTCTTAGGGAAACACAGAAAATGTGACAGAGGCATGAAAAAACATAGAACTGAGACAAAATAGTAGGTTTACTCCAAGTTTGCAAGTTGCTATATTTAATGCTTTGGTATAAATCTTTATTACAAAGAACAACTATCAAATAAATCATTGTGTGGAAAAGAATTGATCTGGGAATCAATTATCTGGGAAAGAAAACCACAAAGAAGTGATTGTTGAGACATTTGTTCTTCAGATATGTAACTGCTTAGTCTGAAATAAACTTTAGGATGGAAATCTATTAGGAAAGTTGCTTGCTTAATTTTGCTATTCTACACTCTGATACTGATTGTTCAGGATTACTGCGCATACATGCTGTAATGAGAATTGTATATAATTTACTATGCATACTTACATATGACAGACATTAAAGGATATATGTGTCTAGTAATAGCAGATGCATATTTCTGCCCACTAAAGAAATGGTTACAACTTTTAATAAATATGGGTAAGGGAATGATGTTAAGATTACGTGTGTGTGTGTGTGTGTGTGTGTGGTGTGTGGTGTGGTGTGTGTGTGTGGGTGGTGTGTGGTGTGTGTGTGTGGTGTGTGTGGGTGGTTGTGTGTGTGGTGTGTGTGTGTGTGTGGTGTGTGGTGTGGTGTGTGTGTGTGGGTGGTGTGTGTGTGTGGTGTGTGTGGGTGGTTGTGTGTGTGTTGTGTGTGTGGTGTGTGTGTGTGGTGTGTGTGTGTGTGTATGCCCATACCCATACTTGTTCTGGACTTCAACTGAATATAGAGAATTATCATTATCTTATACCACTTGCATTGAGATACTCAGTTTTTCCTTCAAGAAGTGAATTTAACTCTTAGAATATTATTGTGGTAGGACTCTCCAGTTTCTTGATACAACATCTATTCATCCTTTTCCCTTTAGAAACAAACTGGAATTTTTATATTGCTTCCCATAATAAAAAACATATTGCCTTCCAGATTTTGCAGCTAAATTTGGCTATGGGACTAACTTTTGGCCTTGAGCTGTTTAAGAGAGATACTTGTGAGAGTTCTTTTAAGATTGGTCAAAGGAAACTAACTCATATGGATTGTCCATTTGCTCTCCTGCCTTTCCTCTTAGCTGTTAGCCTGAAAATCAGTGGTGACGGCTGGGCAGCCAACAGTCATCTTGGAACACGACATGATTCTGGAGGTGGGAAGCAAGGCTGGAATGGTACAGAATAAACATAGGAACTTGGGTCCTTGAGAAAATTGTAGAGTCACCACATGTGCCTGTAATTCAGACTTACTTTCAGACTTTTTTCTATGTGTGAGAGATCTATCTTATTTAAGTCATTGCTATTTTTGTTGCTAATACTGTTGTTAAGTGAGCATTCTAGTCGAGCCCAAGCTAGGACTCAGTCTGGTTATATTGGATGAGCCCCTGGATCAGCATCCCCCAATGCCAACTATTAAATGTAATAGGCTAATGATAAATGGAAATGTATTTCACATAACAAAGAACAACTCGTTATGCCCAAATATAATGAGGTCATATTGCTCTTATTTCTCTCTAACCTGAGATTTGGGCCGATGTTCTCTATGGGAAATTAGAAACCTATGTTATGGTATTTTGTTTTCGTGTTAGGATGGTCTCTGTAAATCTACCTAATAGTAAAAATAAAATCTTGCTTGGAATTGTGAAGTAAGTGAATTCTCCATTGTGCAGAAATAAGAACAGCATTATATTTTATACGTAATATTCTTAAACAGTCAATTCATTTATTCTATTAATATATTTGAGCTATTATGGGTTACATAAGTTATGGGTGTGCTTTGTTAATTAGTCAACTCATGTCCAATATCACAGGGGCCACTTGTGAATTTAGAGAGAACAGAAGAAAAGAAAAATAGAAGCAAATGATGAAAGTCTAAATATTTTCCTCAAATAATTGTCTTTCTAAAAAATTTCTTGTGTTTAAAGACTGGAATTTAAGCTGCATTTTTCTAGATGGTACCAGCCTATTGGTACATATATTAATGTCAAAGACGAATGCTCAAATTACAAGGGTTCACAGCTGTCTCTACAAAATTTCTTAAGTGTTCTTGCCACAAAGTCTCCTCTCTTTTCTGGGAGACCTGGGGGAAGGGTCTCATATGTCCTTGTGTCCAGTTAGCTCACATTATTCACTTACTAGCCGCTCTCGTGCTTACAAGATTCTTCATGCAGGGGCGCCACCATTCTGTCTCATGTCAGGATCTTCTAGTAGAACTCTGCTGTCCCATAACGAGGCTGTACATGTTCTTTCCAGGTTACAATTTCCCACACTACTAAATGATGCTGCATTCACTTTAAACTGCACCCTACTGGGGACTGACTTGTTCTAACGAAATGAGGTGACTATTTCTCTAGCCAACTCTATCAGCTTGAAGTATTACTGCTTATGTTCTGAGTATCATAAAGTCTCTTATGGAAACATTTCTTTGTGTTCTTATTTACAGTCCTGCAGCAAGCATCTTTCACTGCGCTTTATCTCTTGTGTCTCTATTGGAGGCACCCAGGGCAGGATGTTTTATCCCAGTAGTTATTTATTGTGCCGTGCAGTTTTACTTTTTCTAATAATTGTCAGAAAGGGCTTCTACTGCTCCATCAGTTTGTCAGACAAAACCAAACTTTAAATCCCAGTTTGAACTACACTGGGACCCGTCCTACACCAGAACTTAACTTGGATTCCAGATTGCTTGATAAAATAGCTAGCTGAGAATGAAGCTATAGTTTCCTGACAACAAACACACACACGCACGCACCCATATTCATACATATGTACACACAGCAGTCCCCTCACCCATAGGTTATGCCCAAACCCACAGTGCATGCCTGAAATCTCAGAAAATACTGAACGCTATATATACTATGAGTTTTCTAATACATACGTACCTATGGTAAGTTTAATTTATGAATTAGTCACGGTAAGACATTAATAATAATTATTAATAAACTAATAACAATATACCGTAACAAAAGTTACATAAATGTGGTATTTTTTCTCTCTCTCAAGATATCTTATTGTACTAGACTCACCTATTTTCAAACCCTGGTTAGCCACAGGTAACTAGAATCAAGGAAAGTGAGATTGAAAATAAGTGGTGGTGGCGGGGGGGAGGGGCTACCATATCTCACATACATATAGTTCAAAATATGCAAAACCACACACCTCAAAACTTATAATTTGTATCAACATGATATGCTTGATGCCATAGGCAATGCCATTTTCTCATTGTCATCTCTTTCCGTTGTAAAACACCATTTAAAAGGAATCACACATGCTAAAACATGTATTTTGGGTATTTTACATTTATCCAGATATGAATATAAGTAATGTACTTGGTTATAATGTTCCCTTACCCACGTTTTGTTACATGCTTCTACACATTGACTCTTTAACAAGTTTTTTTTTCTTTAAAGTCTCCCCATAGTAAATGTAGCTACTATGACTATGAGTGAAAGAGATATGGATGGGTGGAAGAGATATGGAGACGCCAGTACTTTTGTAGATAAACGCAATGTGAAAACAAAGAAGTACTCTTTAATTACTGGTACAGAAATAATGACAAGGAAACAAAATTACTTCCTGAATCACACTTTATCACCTGACTGGTTGCAAAGAGCACAGTTTTTTTCTTTTTTCGTCAAATTAAAATCTTAACCATGTAAATTCAAGGCTGTAAAGGACAACTCAGGATCCTTCATAGTAATAATTACAGTATTAAAATGCTTATTTGCTAGAAAAAATGCAAAATCTCAGAACATCTGAGATACCCAAGCTGTAAAGTGTAACACAAGCTATCAACTGTAGAGGAAAGAAAGTTACAAGGTATGAAGTCCAGAGCGACTGCTGGTAGCATGAGTGGTGGGACTGCAGTACACAGAAAGAAATGGAAGGCATTTGTTTAATATACGATCTTGTTGAAAGACGAGTCCCAGCACAGTAGCTTTTTCCTTTAAAGACTAGCCAGATGTGGGCCTTTTTAAGATCACAAAGAATGGAGCCACGGAAAGAGATTAACAATGTTGGCAGAGAATGGCAGATACAGTAAGGTTGTTTTTAAATGGATAGAAATCTACGTAAAGGTGACTCGACAAAACACAAAAGCTGTTTCCTCCTCAACCATTTAGGCAGAAACACTAACTAAGTAAAAAGATGCAAGGTATTTAGCAGTAATTCCCATTACCTGGTACTTTTATTGCTCTGGCATGATTAGCAGAGACTATTTGGCCAGCGTTGTCAACTATTTGCTTTGTCGTCAGCCTGATGTTTGGTCTGCAATCCCTCTAAAACTAACAGCAAAGGAGAAACACTCAGAAACTTAGGCAGTTCTAGTTGGCAGTGAGGTGTCACCCCTAGCCTCCTGTCTGTGAGGTTTATTTTGCATTTTAGAAGCTCGGTGGCTGTCGCTCTTTTTTGATAGCCAACAAAAAGCAACGTCATAGACCTGTTTGGCTGCTGTCCTGGGTAGAAGGGTTTGGCAGCCCTAGGGAGATGAATTTCTCCAGCTTTGGACCCGCCCAGAGTAGAGAAGCAACACCCTTCCAGCCACTACTCTGTTGCTATGAAACAAAAGACTAGGAAGGTAAGCGAAGCAGGAAGTCCCGCCTTTCAGCCCCAGACGGCTTTGGCTCCCGCTCCCGACGCTCACGCCCACCTGCCACCCCTTATTGGTTAGCTCCCTCGTGCCTTGCATCCCTTGTTCCATTTTCTTTCCCGTTTCCACTTTCGTTCCCGGGCGAGTCCAGGCCCCTCACTTCTCTCCGAGTCCAATTCCTTTCTGACGTGCTGCGCACGGGCCTTCCTCCGGGGCCATTGTGTACTGTGGAGGACGTGGACCGGGCGGCAGCGCGAGGAGGGCGGGCGCCTCCTGCACATTGGCTGCACGCGCTGTCGGGCAGCGCGCGGGTGCGCCGCATTGGCCCAGCGGCGCACGGCCCCGCCCCCGCCCCGCCCCCAGCCTGGGTCTTGTGTGTGCCACAGGGGTGGGGTGTCCAGCGAGCGGTCTCCTCCTCCTGCTAGTGCTGCTGCGGGCGTCCCGCGGCCTCCCCGAGTCGGGCGGGAGGGGAGAGCGGGTGTGGGTTTGTCTTGACGGTAATTGTGTTTCCACGTCTCGGTGGCCTGCGCACTGGATCTCTCCTTCTTCGGGCGCGAGCTGTTTCAGCGATCCCACTGCCCGCCGGGGCTCCCACGCACCCTGGGCTGCGTGCGTGTGGAGTGGGACCCGCGCACACGCGTGTCTCTGGACAGCTACGGCGCCGACAGGCAAGGAGGGAAAGGGTCGCCGGGGAGGCGCCACACTTCTTGCCGGCTCGGGGGCCGGAGGGCAGCTGAGCGCGAGCCACGGTGAACAGGGGACAGCTCAGGCTCTCAGCTGCCGGGGCGCCGCCGTCCAGTTTGCAGTGGGGCATTTAAAGATCAGACCCCGCAGGCCGGGGAGGAGGGAGGCGGCGGCGCGGATTGCAGCAGGCGGGCGGCCGGGAGGCGCGTCCACCCCGGCGCCGAGCACTCAGCGCCCGAGACGGACGGGGCTGCGGGCGCGGGAGGGACGCTGTGTCCCCTCCCCGTCCACCTTCCTCCCGCAGCTCAGAGCCCAGGGGCCGTGAAGGGGCCTGAGCAGGGAAGGGACACGGACGCCCTGAGACAAAGCTCTGGGTGAGAGCGGAGGCGAGGAGGGGCAGAAGTGAACTCCTCCTTTCCGTGGCCGCTCTTGTCGGTTTCTCTGTGTCTCTTTTAAATGGGCTGTTTGTGTGTTCTTTCATTTGGTTCTTGGGAATAACGACTCACCGCGTTGATTTAAAGAAATGTGTTCGTGTGTCCGTCCTGGGTGATTTTTAGCGTGGGAAATCCGAGTCCTGCGCCTCTGTTCACAACAGAGTTGTCCCTTACTTTTGTGTAGAATAATTTTTATATTTATGTAACTTGGAGAAATCGAACAGCGTGAAAGTGAAGTTTCTGCGTGAGGCTCCCAAAATGTATGATAGGAACTTCAGTTGTTCTAGTAGTTTGAACTGGAATTGAGGCTGGAGGGGAAGAACATTCTGTTCTTATCTAGGTGGAGGAAACCTGTTTAAGTTTTGTTTGGTGTTTGTGAGTTGGGTATTAGTTCAGCCTTAGCTACTTGAAACGTGAGTAGGATGCATCTTTAACTTTTAGTATTGTAAAAGCAAATCTAGGATCATTGCTCCTAAAACTGCTGTGTGTAAAGATTCAGAGTGTAAATTCACAAGCTTATTGATAAAGTTGAATCTGGAACTTTTGGTTTTGCTCTCATTGATGGAGGAAGATGCAGTGGGTACAAGTTAGTCTCTTTAGTTTTCTGGTGGGTAAATATTTTCAAAGCCAACTAACTTTTCTTTCTTTAAATCTGCCTTTCAAAGAACTAAAATTCCAGATGGCAAACTCAATGAATGGCAGAAACCCTGGTGGTCGAGGAGGAAACCCCCGAAAAGGTCGAATTTTGGGTATTATTGATGCTATTCAGGATGCAGTTGGACCCCCTAAGCAAGCTGCGGCAGATCGCAGGACCGTGGAGAAGACTTGGAAACTCATGGACAAAGTGGTAAGTTCTATCTGACGTTGCCTGTGCCAAACACTATTCACTTTGTCTGTGGTTTCTCTAGATTTATTTATACTGTTAATTATTAAAAACCATTATTATGGTAACAATCTTTGGATTTCTATTCATCATTTTTTTTTTTGCTTCAATTCTGTGTTTTTTGAAAATTTGGATTCACAGACTTTTTTTTTTTAACCTTTTGTCCTTTCTACTCTTTAAGGTTCAGAGTTCCTCTATATGACTCAATATGCAAAGTTGTACCATTGGCAGCTTTTTGTTGGTGTATGGCCATAGACTGTTGGGAAGTGTTTGTTCTGCCTTATGTGAGGTTGTGTCGCTCTTAGATAACAAAAGAGTACAAGCATGTTATTTGTCTTTGATGGACCACTCATGACAATCATCTGGTATGATACTGAAAGTGTTTACTGGGGAAAGAAGCAGGTTAGTTCTTAAGTAAAGCAGCAGTGTTTCAGGGAGTTTCCATTTTCATCTTTGAGAATTCATCTTCATTAAGAAACTTTTTTGTTGTTAATGGGAGAGTTAACAGTTTCTTTCATCTACTATTCCATTTTGAAACAGGAAACCTTTCGATGGCACATTGTTTATTGTGAAAGGAAAATTTATGTTGGGGGTGGTGAGGCTGAGAGTATCAGAAACCTCTGTGGTTTCTGCATGTTGCTTTCAGACAAACTATAATTTCACAGGAAAAAATCAAGATGGGTGTCAGTATCCAGAGAGGTCTGGTTAAAAAGACAACCTGAGTACCTTGCAGAGATCTACTCAGAAACTAGCTGTCAGTATCCACCTTACTAAGTATGATTATAAAATCATTAAGATGTAGCTTGCTGCTTTGCAAAAATATCTTTTTTTTTGAAGTAGGAGCACTGTCCTGCATTTATTAGTAAATATTTGTAACACTTTATGACTTTATTTTGTAGATATCTGGAGCTAATTGTAAGTTTAGTTGAGGCCAAGACTCAAGATTTTTATAACTGAAGAAATGGAGGTTTAAAAAATAATTCCTTTGTAGGGATGTGCCAAAGCATCCAGGAAATCATATGGTAATGTTGATCTTTGCTTTGGTTTGTTGCTCTCTGCAAATATTAGCTACAGAAAACCACTATCAGTAGTTATAGCAATATACGAATGTGACAAGAGTTACTTTATTTTCATTTCTTCTGATGGAAAGGACACATAGATGAATGACTGACCTGTCATTCTGCAGGCGGTGGTGCTAAATGCAGAGCCAGAATGTTATTGCCAGATAAATATCCTTAGTTTTGGGCTTCAGTGTGACCTATTTAAGCTTCTGCCAATTTATTCAAATTCTTATATTAAAGTACTCCAGACAGAATGATGTCATAGTATCAGAATATTGCAACTTGCTGCTTGGGGTTAAGTTTTGATTTTAGCATTGGATACTTAAGAATACTGAGGTATACAATTGGAAAAATAACATATATTTGGCAAGCACAATACTACATATCTTTGCTTTGCTAAAGAGTGTGCATTTGAAGGTCACTCTCACTACCTAAATTATTAGTTGGGGTAAGAGAAGGAATTCAAGGTTTTTTTTGTAACTTGTCTGTTACATAGGTGGACAGCAAATGGTTCAGATTTTATAAAGGGGCTGCTCTTTTTCCCCCACTCTCCATCTTTAAGTGGTCAGAATCTGTACATTTGTGAGTGTTAGTACATTAAATCAGAAAAATTTATGTAAGGAAGTGGTGAGCTGTAGTTACTGTAAGAACATTTTTTTTTGAAACATTAAAAAATGATGTACACAACTTTGGTCTATAACTGGTTGTTAACATAATAAGTTTTATTCACTTTTAATTTTTTCACCATGAGTTATGGTAAGATAGATGGTTATTTGATGGTTCAACATCTGCTATTGTTTATTTTATTAACCCTTTTGTGGGTTTAGGTTTAATCGCTCCAATTGAGAAACTTGACTTAACAAGGAAATCTATTATCCAAAGTCTCTACTTAGTGGGATGTGGGTGCGGATGTTGGCAGATGTACATTGCTATGGCTTTCCCTGTTTATCTTCATTATTTGTCAAAGATGAAAATGGTTGTGTTCATTTGTGAATGTACCCAGGGGCTTTGTGGAGAGAAATCACATAAGTTATTATGAAAGAATTCAGTGTGTTTATTTTTACTCTAAGATACAGGAAATAGAAAGACATTGATAATTACTAATTGGCAGTATATTTTATTTAAGTGCGTAGTGCAGTAACATCCTCCTCTTTTGTTTATCAGTTCTTATTTGTTAGTGGTGAAGGAAGTGGCTCACAGTATCAACATTGTCCTGATGATTACATCAGGAACTTTATTATTAGTTCTGAAGTTAATCACTTGACACGTTACCTTTCAAAAAAAAACTGCAATAGCATGAATTTAGTGTGTGAATAACAGAAAACCAACTTTGAAGTTTAATTGGTAGTTATGTAAAAGGCAGAGTTAAGTGTACAACTAGTATTTTTTTCTTATGAAGCCTCTTCGCAAGGGTAGATCTTGGAAATATAAGTATAAACACAAGCTTCAATTTCAGTGTGTTTCAGCTACCAATAAAGTAAAATAACTATTTTTACAGGGAAGCAGTCTTTGGTGTACGGGAAATATCTAGTAAGTATGTAGCTTTTCCATTTCTTGGCCTCTAGAATTTAAAATGGTCAACCGAAATTTCTTCCAATTAATCGTTCTGTTTTCAGAGGGCATGCTTTTTATCCAAGGTCACTAAGAGTAGGAGAGAGTAATTGCTTAGTTGTGTTCTTTATAAGAGGTAGAGTGTACAGAACAACAGTAGTACAGAGTTAGCATAGTCCATGTTTTGAGGAAAAGAATAGCAGATAGTAGCATATGCCAAAGCATCCCATTTAGACAGATTTTCTGGCCTTAGCTCTATGTGTCAGTATAATTTGGTAGCTGACCTAAAAGCCCTCATATCAGTGGATGCCTATTTGATACAGTGATGGAAGTATTACTCATGAATACATACCTAGGTTCAGGTGCAGCCCAGATGAAATGTGGAGTCTGTTCTGAAGCTACGCAAGAGAAAGGTTTCTTAAACATTTAATAAACATTTTTTTGAGGGCCTACTGTGTTTCCACTAAGTGCCATTTACTGGAGATATGAAGCTAGACAAGACATAATCCTACCTTTGACCTGTCAAGGAACTCAGAGAGCAGCATCAGAGTCAGACATATAAATGGCTAATTGCCATGTAGTATGGAAAGGGCCCTATTACAAACCCAAAGTACAGTTGGAGCAGAGTAGAGAACATCTTCCTTATTTTTCTGGCCAGTGTTCAGAGAGTTTTTCTATTTGGATTCTGCTGGCCATTGCCTTTTAGGAACAGCATTATTGTGCTCTTGTTGGAAATGCTGAGGTGAGAGTAAGGAAATGATTGCTAATCAGTATGGTTGGAATGATAATTTATTAATGTGAAGTTTCTGAGCGTGGTTTCACAAGAATCTTAGCCAGGTGGTAGAAAATAGAAGACACAATTTCCATCTAATAGATACTAAATGTACTGGGCATACATGGATGCTCAGGAAATTAGAAAATAATTATTTGATGCTAAGGAGCAAAGCACGCTGAGTACCTGCCTCAAATTTTTGTCTTACTGTCCTTGTCATTTGTTTTAAATTACATTATTGAAAGAATTTAAAAAGCATTTAGGAAGTGATGATGCCCACTAGGCTTTTCCTGCTTTTGCCCTCAGTAAATTTAGTACATTTTTCAAGCTTGAAATAGAATTCATTTTCTTTTTAATTTAATTATGATCATAATATATTTTAAAGTTTGTCAATCAAGGATGCTTAGATTATATACAGATATTTTAAAGAATAGAAGTAAACTTACTTTTCTAAGCTGAGTTCCTCATACCTCTGAAAGATAGTCCATGTGGAGTAAAACTTAGGTTATTTTTTTTTTTTTGAAATGGAGTTTTGCTCTTGTTACCCAGGCTGGAGTGCAATGGCACAATCTTGGCTCACCACAACCTCTGCCTCCTGGGTTCAGGCCATTCTCCTGCCTCAACCTCCTGAGTAGCTGGGATTACAGGCACGCACCACCGTGCCCAGCTAATTTTCTGTATTTTTAATAGAGACGGGGTTTCACCATGTTGACTAGGATGGTCTCGATCTCTTGACCTCGTGATCCACCCACCTCAGCCTCCCAAAGTGCTGGGATTACAGGCATGAGCCACTGCACCCAGCCAAAACTTAGGTTTTAGATGCCTATATTTGTGTTTACTGATTTGGAGACTCTTACCTTTCTAGAGCTTAAAACAGCTGATATCATTCATTTGAATTATACTTCTTTACATATTTCCTTTTCCTCACTGAAGTTGTTCTACCTTAGCAGAATCATGGGTCCTAGTAGACTTGGTTAGGGGATAATAACAAATTGTCTGGACAGTTTTGTTTAATACTGAGTTCAGTTTTGAATTTGTGTTGTGATAAATGAAGTGATCCCAAAGTTTGCTACATGACTTCTAGGAAAAACTATTAATAAAGTAAAAGATTTAAAGGAATCCTATTAAGAGTTACCTTGGATTATTCTTGTGACTATAAGGCATACATATAATACAGGCCTTAATTAGTAATCTTTTAACTGTTACAAAATTCTTAGCATTCGGATTTTGAATCTATTTCTTTCTTCCTTTCAAAAGGTGCTTTATGTGCTGTCTGTTGATTTTATTATTCATTTATCAAATCCCAGCAGTGGCAAGACAGATATTTCCAAATAGCTATGACATAGGGTAAAATGTGATTTGTGCTTTAAGGTGGTGTAAATAAAGTGCTGAGATACAGTGTGTGGTGGAGGTGACAGTTGCTTGCCGAGGCTGAAAAGTTGGTATAGAGTGAAGCATGGGGTAGGTACTGTCCAGATCATGGGTTGGATTCCGGTGAGATGGAGGACATGTTAGGTTGAAGGAATGATAGATTGTTGAGTAACAGAAGGGAAGATAGGGGAAGATGATAGAGGTTTTGA